GGCTGGAGACGCCGCCGCGGCCACTGTCTGTCCGGTGGGTGGTCTAGCCCCCGGGCGTAGCCAGCGCACCGTCCCTGCACCCCACCGAGACGGACGGAAGAAGATTGCATCTACCCGTGCAAGATTGTAGCGCCACGGGCCACGGCTGAGGGCTTCGTGGAAAGGGTGTTCCTCAGCCTTTGACGTGTTTGATTCTCCAAGATTTGGTGAAAGTCGTTGCTAGTGTCATGGTTGACATTGGGGCTAGTGGCTACAGGGGTTTATTTTTAAGCTGTCTGCAGAGGGTGAATGCTAGCGGCGGAGACATGAGAAGATAGTGCAAGAAAAGTGAGAAGTGTCAGAGCTTTCCTTCACGCTTTGTTCTAACATGACTTATATTTGAATACAAGCAGCGGTATTATAAAAAATGAACCCACAGCATTCTATAGCGAATGACTGATGACGTCCACCTGTCCCAGTCCAATGACTTCCATCGATCTGATTATTCTACCTATAACTACCACATCTTAACCCGCGCGGGGCTGGGGTCTCCAGCCGAACGCGCGGGGCTGGGGGGGGGGGGGTAAATTTTACTCCCCCTCCCTGTTATCTCCCGAACTAATGATCCGATTTGGAAAAATCAAACGCCAATCGAAAGCTCTCATCACGAACAACTAAAAACATGTACTTAATTTAAAGTTTGAGGTCACGGTCAAGGTTAGGTCAAGGGTACAAATTGCAAGTTTCTACAGTAGCGGCCTTGCACCGTAGTTGCCGAAGAATGGAGTCATGGACTGAGACACTGATGGCCCAAAACGTGTTCTTAGGCTACCAAGACAATATTCGTTGCATACAATATCATTCAGAGGTCAAGGTCAAGGTCAGGTCAGGTCAGGTCAGGTCACCAAAAAACAAAATATAGAAAAGGGCATGTGTGACACATGTTTTATGGGTCATTTTACTCATAGAATTCAATAGGCACACTCAATAAGTGATATGGACCACCTCTGGATGAATTTCAGGTCGAGGTCAGGTCAAGGTCAGGTCAAGTGAGGTCATATTTTGAAGTTGGTTGTTAAGGCCTAAAAAGGTGTCTATCTGATGCAGTTTTTCACGGCGAATCGAATGGTGCTATTTTTGTTACCGTACGAGGTCTAGAACTTCAAAAAAATTATTTTTCAAAATTTTTGTGTGTCGTGACGTCATAAAATTTTGAATAACTCCCACATTTTTGAACCGATTCTTCTAAAAATTTGTATGTAGGTGCACATAGACCACTTCTCTGAGATATATTCCGGTTTTTTCGATAGACTCAAAATTTTGGATTTTATAATCATTTTCCCAAAAAAGTCAGTTTTTTGAAAAAATTGGGCTAAAATCCAAAATTTTCAAAAAACCGAGATAGTCATTTGATAGACAAAGTAGAATTACGTATAAACTTTTTTGTTACGTCTTGATTCCTTTAAAAATGAAGATGTTAGCGGCATTTGAAATTTTGCTGTTTTTGAGGCGAAAATGGCGAACATGACGTCACTAAAACGTCAATTTCTCAAAAAATTCCGACGGATTTCGCTCAAATTTTCAGGGAACGTGTCAAATTGATGTAAGAAAAGGTACTGAAAGTTTGGCGGCGCTCGCCGTTTTTGAGATATTGCAAAAATTCGCGAGGGGGTAAAATTTACCCCCCCCCCCCCCAGCCCCGCGCGGGAACCAACACCGCAAAAGCACAACTAAAGGTATGCAGCTCCTAAAATGGTTCTGTCCCAAGGTCAATCAGCTGGATCTTAATGACAAAAAAGGCTTCAGAGGTTCTTTTAGCCGATTGCCATCTCCCCACGCCACGTGGGTGGAAAGGGTCACGGCGCGGTTGGTCCCCCGACCCTGGCGACCGGCCGGGGCAGACAGTGGACGCAGGTGGGCTGTGGAGGAATGCGACGCCCGGCTCCGGTGGGGGTTCAGGAGGAAGGGGAGGAGAGTCAGGAGGGAGGGAGGTAGCGACGCTCAGGGGTGGCAGGTGGCCTCTCCTCGCCCCCGGCTACCGCCATGTGGCGACCGAAGGAAAGAAACGGATGACGGCAGGAGCGGGGCCGGATGCGGACTGCGGAGGCCAGGTAGATCATCTATCCTCTGTATCCTGGACGGCTGAAGTGAGCCAAAGTGAAGCCTGCACGGTAGCAGCCATGAAGCTCGACAGTCAGGCAAGTAGACTTACTGAAACGACCTATACGGCAGTGTGCCCACATTCATCGAACTCAGAGCGGCAGGCGGCGAACGAAGGGCGGACGACGGTCGCTCGAGCCTGAAGGGTGGGAGGGAGTACATACGACGTAGAAGAGAGAAAGAGAAGAGAGGGATATGAGGGTCCAGGGACGCCACCAACTGCGCCGTTAGTGCTGGGCGGTGCCCGGGTGGTCAATGGATAGCAGTGAATAGGGTATCCTTGTTGAGAGTGGTAGCGTTGGCCACATACGACCGAGCACACATAGCGGTCGGCCTTTGAAGAGGAGGGTGCATAATCATATAATGACCGGTAAAGCGGGTGAACGGTAGAGTAAAGCAGCTAGCAAGGTCATCATACAAATAACCATTCCTTTAGAACCCATTCTATCCAGACTTAGCCCAGTAGAGCGAATCTCAAGATAGAAAACATAAGCCGTTTACACAACAGTCACAACACACATCCCTGTAGACGAGTAACTACGGCAGCCAGCCATACTCTGGGGAGCCCCGGCCCATGTTACCACCGTGCCCGTCGATCGTAGTGTTGGCGATTGCGTCAATGACCTCGGCCTGAGTACCGCGGGAGTGTTCTTCATGGTGCACTGGGCTGTAATGGCCCGCTGCGGACACGGAGACTGGGAGCCGGTCTGCCCAGCGCCACGGGAATGCACGCCCCGCGGCCGTACAGGCAGTGCAAGGAGTGGTCAAATATGGGAGCGAGTGGGTGGACAGCTGGGGAGCGGGGAGTGGGGGCGGGGGAGCGGAGAGTGGACAGCTTGGCAGCGGGTGCAAGGATGAAAAATTAGGTCGGTGTCTCGGTGATTGGGTGTTTTCCTCAGTTATTATGTCTTCCATTTCGTTTTAAACTTCAAACAGGCCAACGATGTTACGATATTTAAAACTTACCCACAGCAAGCGCTATAAGTATTGTCCTATTCTGAGACGTGAAAGGTCAGCCATTTCTGTCCCTTTTGCCACACCTCTGCTTTGAACAATACTCGATGAATTTATCTGCCAATGCATCCATGATATCAACATAATTACGAGAGTATTACAAGTCTCGGCCGCTGGAATTTTCCATCCGATTCACCTCATTGTTCATTGCTCAACTGCTCACATGGCACAGCGCGGCACGTGGAAATCCACAGAGGCTGATATCATTCGTCCTTACATTTTTCCTTTTCGCCGCATTACAGTCGGTTTAGCGCAGACACGGGTTCCCTGAGCGACGTGTGATGTTGTCAGTCGTGCTAGCTGACGTCACGGCCACTGACGTGAGACCCGTGACGTCATTACTGATGGTGTTTTGACGGCATACCTCAGGCATGCCTCAGGTAAACGGCCCTTGTTGGTTTGCCGGTACCGTATGGATGCCTTTGATCAGGCTAACTACCGTACTGAGTCCCCCGCGGCAAGTGTGCGGGTGATCGCAAACTTCAAAATAATTCATCAAGCGATTTGAAACTAGACAATGAACTGCTCTACTGGAAAAGTTTGGGTCACTCTTCGACTAAAATGTTCAGAACAAATGAAAATGAATGCACAAAAGTAAAATAATCGTTTGCAATTTTGGACAAACTATTGTGGATCAGAAAATAGGACAATGAACAACCATAAAGCACCCTCCACTTTCAAAAACTAGCCCAGCCGTACATTGTTCAACGGGTTCAAACCGAGCCATGAAGGTTTCGGTCGCACCGCATTGTCTAACGCCGATATCACACAAAACAGAGGCTGGAAGTGAAACCGGCCGCCTCGCGAAATGTTTCCTGTGACGTCAACATGACAAGTCGCATGACAAGCCTTTCGCCACATTTGTGTCTTCCAACAATGGGCCTTCTATCATTCCACTGATGAGGCATCATAGCGAGAACGATGTAGCAGGTTTCACCGAGGCTTACTGCCCGAGCCATCTGTGAGAGGCGATAGGTAGTGCAACAGGCCCGGTAGCTTGCAGTGTTGCCTGACACCACGACAACGGTGACCTTGTTCCGGGGTTATTACGGGAGACATGGTAACCAATCCTGCACAGCTGGGGCCGGTGGTGACGCATACGAGTGTGCACGATTATCCTATCGACCGCTGGGGCACAGGTCGACCAGCTTTACGAGCGCCGTAACAAAGACGACGCTAATTATACTTACCTATACGAAATGACTCGTAAAATCGATCAGCCGTGGTTACTTGCTATAATGAAACACAACACGCTGTGACCCGGGGTCAAAGCAGAACGGAACGACATACCGAGTCGGTCGCGCGCAACAATTCATCATAAAATAGCCACACGGGAGCCCACATCGACCATTCCTGCGGTCGTCCAGGGTTGACACGCTCAGTGGACGCCAAACATGAGCGAAAACGTGACATGGGGAAGGGTCAGGGTAATGTGGGGCGGTAGAGGGTAGCGACAGCTTCAGTAGCCGAAACAGTGGCCGTCTGGCCATGATATCGGCAGTTCAACATTTGCCACTGACCTCGACTGGCGGCTGCTTCAACTAATCGTGATCTGAGTGACATTTATGAACAGGGCCGACAAGGAACTGCGGAGTAAATGGGTTCTGGTCGCAGTGAAACGGCTGGATAAGGCTGCACGGTTGGATGGCAGGCTGAAGAGCGAGGTTACATGAATACTGCACACAACTGGAAATGAGAAGCAGGACTGTCTGGAAAGCTGAAAATGGAGACGACTGTTGCAGACTGTCGTACCTATACGATTGACGGATGGAGCAGTTTGCACACAAAGACGGAAAGGTACGGCTAATCAATACTCTGCATGCAAACAAACATCGCTCTGTACTTACTCGTTCGAATTTCGTCGTCGTTGGAGACGGCGAACCAGTCGTCGTAATCGTCGTCCTGCTCCGGCTGGTTCTCCCCGAGGTCATACTCGTTCTCGTCGCTTTCGGCATCGGCATCTTCGCCATCACCCTCGCTATAGAACGTCTGATTACACGGGTTCACCTCGTCCGAAACGTCACTGTCACAGTCCTGCTCTGTCCGCGGTACCACAGCATCGTCCGCAACGTCTGTATCACAGCCAACGCCATCAGTTCTACACTGCACGTTCGTGGGCACACTCTGGCCCACTCCGGCTTCACTCATCGTCACTCCGTTCTGATCCAACACTCCACTCGTCACTCCCTCGTCAGAGATCACCACTCCGTCGCCAAAGCTGACTCCCTGCGCCTCGAACACGGGCCTGGCCTGCGTCGCTCCATCCCTGTCCGGCGGCCGACCACCGTCCACTGCCGCCGCTGCGCCACTCGCCGCGGGTTCGCGCGACCCTGCGACGCTGCACATGACTGGCTGGGCCGAGCCGACGACCCGATCGGTAGTGTCGTCGGCGGAGGTGGTCGCTTCGTCGGAGAGAGGCGAGTCTCCCGTCTGGTGACTGGGTTTGAAACTCACCAGTCGTCGAGCGCGGCTCCACAGCACGGGCGCAGCGACCCCAACCACGCGCCTCAACCCCGTCCACAACAACAATGCGACGGCGCCGGTCAGCGCTGCCTCGACCAGCTCCTCCACCGCGCTCGGGCCAATCGCAGCCGCGCTTGGCGCCGGCCGGCCAATCATCGTCGGTGTTTCAACCACAGCGACCAATCAGAGTCGTCGGTACAGCCGAGCAGCTGGAATGGATGAACGGTGGGTGAGCGCCGTGACATGGGCGAGGGAGGGGAGAAGTGGGGAATGCGAGCCGAGGTGAGCCGGTGAGACGGGAGGGGAGAGGGGCAGGGCGAGTGGTCGGGCGAACCGGAAACCGACCGGAAGGGTGACCTGACGTAAAGCGGGGTCACGATCTGGATTCTTTTCGGAGCAACGACCGGAAAGCGATGGTTATTTGGGACGGCATAACATCTTTAGCGAGGCGGAAGACGGGATGAGGGGGAGGGGGTATTATAGTTGGCGAATGGGCTGAGATGACATGTTATCACTGGCGGTCCCGGGGGGGGGGGGGCCACGGGGACCATGGCCCCCCCCCCTTTGGTGCTGAAAGGTGGGGCCATACTATCTTTTGGCCCCACCTTTCAGATCGAACACAAGTCCTAGAAAAGCTTTTTGTATGTTTCATTTTCTTTCTTGTGCCATCAAAGGACGTAAATTTCACTCATGAGTGGGCTCAGTTTCGTATTCTGTCAATTTGGTGGTCAGCGTCGCTGGCACCGGTTCACGAGTATGGCCGCATCTTACATGGAATATCAGCGTGGGTTTACTTGAGGCTCTCGTAGGCCCAGCAATGGCTGGCATGAGACCTCTTCGGCAGTGGCGGGTGGCCCTGCCAAAGGAGCGTGGCTCTAAGACACTAAAGTAAGACCAGACCTCATGGGTTGGTGCTGTGCACCTCAGAAGCCCGGTGGTGACGCCGTATGCCGGCTTGGTTTCTTAAGGATTAGCGTGGGATCTCCGGGGCCTGCATAGAGTTTGCATTAGCTAGTATGTAATTTCAGAGGCCTGTATGTAATGTGTACACAGTGGCGGTCGCGGGGGGCATCAGGGCCATGCCCCCCCCCCCCAAGGCACATAAAGGGGGCCATCATATCATTTGCCCCCCCCCCCCTCAAGCAACCGATGGGCCCCCATAGGTGTATGGGACCCTGGCCCCGATTCGATCGTCACGAGGCTAAAAAAACACGCCCACACCGGTCTTTGAGCGTCCAACACTGACCTCTGAGGGAACTTCAGTGGCAGTCAAGCGCCCACGTTGACCGCTAAGAGCCCACATCGACCTCTGAGGCCCCACATCTGACCTATGAGGACCCCTTACCGGCCTCAGGGGCCCCAACCGGCGTCTGAGGGTCTCACACCGGTCTCTAGTGGCCTTATTGCTGTCTCTGGTGTCTCAAGGCGAACATTTAGGTGCCAATGAGGGCCCCGCATTGGCTGCTGAAGACCCGATGCTGGCCTTTAAGGGCCTGCATTGGCCTCTGAGGAGGGCTCATCTTGGCCTTTGAGGGCCCTCTGCTGGCCTCTGCCTCTGGGTTCCAACGACGGCTCGTTCCGGTCTTTTAGGGCCCCACGCTGACCTCTGAGGGCCCCATGTTGGCCTGTAATGAGTAGGACCCACATAAGCCTCCGAGAGCCCAACTCGGTCTCTGATGGTCTCAAACTACTGGCCTTTGCAGTTTGCAGGCCCTGTACTGGTCTCCGAGGGCCCTAAACTGGCCTCTAAGTGAAAACATACATGGGTGGGCTTCTGAAGATCACAGGGCTCACGCAGACTCCTGCACAGCCGTACGTTGGTCCTGATCGAGATTACTTTACGTCCTGATGGTCCCACGCAGATTCCCTCATATTTCGACGTCGGGACCCCATGAGCCGGTGTGGGTCCTGGGGCTGGCAGAGACTGATGAAGTCCTTAGGGCTCCGCTCAGGGCCATTCTTTTTAGCAGTAGGACTATAAGGCAGGTTGAGTGAGCCCCAATAGAGCCGTTGCGAGGCCCCGCGCGAGTCGTGCGCGGCCCTCAGATGCCAATTTTGAAAACCAGGAAGTAGGAACCTGTGGGGCCGGGGGTCTCCAAAGGTCGGTGTACCTATTCTCTCCCGCCGCCAAACAGCTATATGGGTAAATGTCATAGTCTGAAAATGATCTCTGGGTTTCACATGCTTGTTCAAAGCAAGAGGTATCCGTACTTTTCCGAATTGTTTTATTGTGGTAAGGTCATGAATCCGCGTGCCCGACCTTCCAGTATATGCTACACCGATCCGTCGCCATGGTGCAGTGGCCCGACCGGTGGAAACACCGTGGGACGGGAAATGGAACTGGTGCTTTTGCCTTAAATTGAGCTTAAAGATTTCACGCAAGAATGAGGTGGATGAAGCATAAGTAATGCCAACTGCGCGGCGCCTTGTGGACGTAAAAAAGTAGCCGATCACCCCCCCCCCCCCCCCCCCCCCGGTGACTGATCAATGTTCAAAGTCAAAGTCAAAGTCAAAGTCATTTATTAGAATTCTTCCACGGGGTGGGTATTAAGAATCCGGTCAGGAATGTGACATGGTGACATAAGAGCTAAATGAGACCCAGTTAAAAATATATGATACTGATACAATGGCAAAAGCTACGTTAAAACACATCGACGATTACATTAAAACACTCGCGAACGCATCATCCGCATGTAGGAAGTTGACATCAGCAGGTTGACATTCTAAAATCAGGTGCCTGTGGCGGTGTCCTTCGCATTCCACGATGCTGCCGCTCTATATACAAACTCCCGCTGAGTTCTTGCGAGCCGCCACTTCGGGAGCTGCAACTTCCCGGCTGCTACCGCGCGAGTGTCACGTGACGACACTTCGGCCCGGCGGGTGAACATGGCCGACATCGCTGGGGGACATTGGTCATTATACAGGGCTCTCTGGACGTGAACATGATCATGGCGGCGCAGCATCACATTCACCCTCTCCCAACCAAGCGACTCCAACGCCGGCGATATATGCTCGGACCGTTGCGTCCCGGTCACAAGTCTGGCGGCGAAATTCATCGTCTTTTGGACGCGCTGCATTTGACACTTGGCGGCTCCTCCCCAGACGGACAGGCAATACTGAATGTGTGGGAACACGTGGGCTTGGACTAGGAGTTTAAGGACGTCAGGTGTGAGGTGGTGCCGGATTTTGTGGAGGGATGCGAGGATGGAGTTGCAGCGACGCACAACCATGGTTATGTGGGGATCCCACGTCAGGTGTCGGTCGAGCAGCACACCCAAAATTTTGACGGTCTGACTTGGCCGAATGTTATGTCCCGCGAGTGTGACTTTGGCCCCCCCCCCCTTTTGCGAGCGGCTGCGACCGCCAGTGCATGTTATATCCAGGTTCCTTAGAAAATGGACGGCAGCCTTCTATGGCCAACAAAATCTTTGGAAATCGAGTACGGAGTAGGTAAACATCAGTTATGAAATATTAAAGTTATATGCAGTTCATATTCTGTATTCATAATGTGTTCTTTGCGCGGGTAAATGACCGAATAAGGCACCAAATAGGCACCAAATTCAATTTCGAATTGAATGTGCGCAACATATGGCTGACTTAGATATGGAGGACGAGGAGGAGCAGGTATTGTACATGAGCAACAAACGTCCGTTGGAGCTGTTGGATGGGAGACTAACATGAAAATAAAATTTTCACTCCAAACGAGTGTACAAAGTCCTCAGGTTTTCCTACTATTGACGAGATTCGGTCATCGCCTATCTCAACAAAATAGCAATACCACTACCTATAGCTGTTTTTATCAATTGACAAACTTATGTGTTTATCTATTTATTTGTATGTGTGTATATTTGCCCAGCTATTATATATTAAACCGCGAGTAGGTAGAACAAATCTTTTAACCCGCGACCGCCTGGGGGGGGGGTCGCGGATCCGACCCGGCCCCCCCTCCGTTTTTCTTGAATAACTCATGAACCACTTTCGCTATCTACTTGAAATTTGGCATACCTTCTTCCCCATCAATTTGACGTCTCCTGTGCAATTTTTAAGAAAGAATTTCCAATTTTTTAGATATATCGATTTTAGTGATGTAACTACATGGCGTTTTTAGTCAAAAAAGTGGTAAATGTTTAAAAAATCGCCAAAAATCAGGGTTTGAAGCAAATTGCAAATTAAGGACATGAAAAGACGCAGATCAACGAATTCTTTAAAATGGCTATCTCGGATTTTCCATAAAATGCGTTTTTCACCCCTAAAAATTTAAAAAACTATATTTTTGGGAAAACAGCCTATAAAATCCAAAATTTTGGGAATTTCCAAAAAACGGAATATATGTTGTAGAGCTCTATTAGAACATTAGATGCCCCAAATTTCAACTTTTATCTTGATTTTGACCCCCAAATTGTAAAAAATAGCTCCAACATGCATAGGGCATGGTGACGTCATAAGCATTTTCGTGAATTAGAGGCACTTCTGAACATCGCATGTGAAAACAAATGGCACCACTAGATTCCTGGGACAAAGCTCGTCTAGAAAAGTGCATTTCATGTCAAAAATAAAAAGTTGAAAAATTGACTTTTTTTCTTAGCCCTCGTTTAGTTATGTAAAGTAATAAGTAAAAACGATTTTTTATGCTTTCAATGCACACTTATCACCAGCACAGTGACTTGGGGTCACATATAACCATTACCATCGGATTCGGCGTGAAAAATAAGCCATAAAACAAGTGTCGCACGCCCATGTAGCAGAAAGTGAAAACCGTGACCTTTCGTGACCTGACCTGACCTTGACCCGTGCTTAGTATGACCCCTATACGCACATGGTACCTTCACTAGGCCTTTGAGGTCATTTTTGGTGAGTTTCGAGCAGCAGCTATCGATTCCGCTGTCCGTAAGCCGATTCATGCAAAACCCCTGAATTTGACCTTTGACCTGACCTTGACCCGAAAGTTGACCTCAATCTTAAAATCTTAAGAGTGCTTTGGGAAGGTCTCGTAGAGACCTTTCGAACGCCGCCTCGCGGGGCCCCGCGCCCCGCTGGGCTATTCAGGGGCAGAATCTGCCCCCCCCCCCCTGTCTAACTTCCGAACCGATGGTCGTAGATAGACGGGGAAAACGGCAATCGAAAGCTCTCAACAAGGCGGATCTTAAGAGCCCAAATTTTTTTGCTTAGGTAGGTCAGAGGTCAGGTCAAGGTCAGGTCAAGGGTACAA